ACAATATTGCAATAATAAAAATCTTAGAAATATATTATTAATATTTATTTATTAAATCATACAATTTAGAATGTATCCATAACATAAGGGAAAATAAATGATATCACAAAGGAACAAAGAGTGTCCTTAGAAATATAAAATAATATTAAGATGAACACGCTTCCACTGCGACATCATCCTGAATATACGTGTCGGAAGATTCGAAACAAAATTTACAGACTTCGCGTACACGCAAGAGTTAGAGAGATTGAAAATCTAACTTACTAAACTAACTGATCGCGAACCGCCACCTGCTGTACCTGACTTAATGATTTTCCGCGACAGTACATTCTTTTTATTATCAGAAAACTCATTCATTGCTTCGTGACGCACTAAGATCTAATTGTAACGGAACATTTTTTTGTTACTACAGTAAAATCTTATACGAACAAATTTGTATAACGATAAATGTACAGAAACCATCCCCACTACAGACCACTAATACCAGCTACAGCTCCTTGATGTTGTCCCTGCTAATCTAAATCTAATTTCACTTTAAACTTAATAGTTTAAATACACAAATTGTCGTGAAAATTGACTACCATTTTGCAATAAAAATATGTTAATGTTAATACATAATTTATACAAATGAATTTTTCTGTAAACTAATTATATTCCTGCTAATCTAAATCTAATCTCACTTTACACTTTTGCACTTTGCACTTTGCACTTTACACTTTACACTTTGCACTTATTATATCTAAAGATCTTATTACAAGTTCGCAGCCATTAGCTCTCGATATTATTCGCGACGAAGGATTGTTTGTCACGAATAATACCGATTACCAGGTCTCACCACGTGAAGGTTGCTGCGACTGGAGACTCGGAGATAGAAGGAATCAAACTTCCTTCGATCTCCCTCTACATACAGTATACATACGCAGCATACATACTCTACATAGAGTTGACGAGCTTAATACTAAGTACGAAACCGTGAAAATCAAAGAAAACAAAGTCCCTTTGATTTCCAAAGTCTAAGTCTGACTCTGCCAAATAATTATTTGAACTAAGAGGAATGAAGCTAAATCGCGCCACGACGCGAACATGAAACTGGACTTACAGAGTCAGTTTCCTCTGGTGGGTCTGATTCGAGAGAAAGACGATCAACGTCTCCGCCAGTACTCTACTTCCTACATACCTGCTGCCGAGGGCCTAGGTCCCGACCTGACAGTGTACGACGTAGGTAGCACCGCGTCGGGTTGCCCTGCCCTGGCGACACCAGCTATGTCTGACAGTCGTAGAGTCCGAAACGGAGTTCTACTCTCTGCACAACGTCAGGAGTCCAGGACACGACTTGCATCCGTCTGACGGCTGTTTTGAGCTGCGCTGCACCGGGAGCCTGGACTTTGCCTGACGCGTACAGAGAGTACAAGATTCCTCGGAGGCGTCGATTGACCCTCTCTCAAATCAGACCCACTGGAGGACGGCAACCGATCTCGGCCAGTCACATGGTTGGTCACTACACTTATCACATGAAGCAATAGTGACCGAAGTGGACCACGATGTTACGAGCCCAATATGGACTTACGAACAAACAAAACAAGTTGATTAATAATTACTTGGCAGAGGAGACACTCGTACACGCAACCTTAAAACTAACCAAACCAAACTAAGATACTAAGGGAAACTACAAATAGGAGGGACGGGAGACGTGGACTCGCCGATCGCGAAATCCATATCGAACGAAGGATCAACGACGAATGAGCTCTCGCCCCTCGCATACCTGCTTGAGCGCGGTCGTGCGTTGTAGCTTGTTTGTGCGTATCGAACTAGAGAAGGAGAAGGGCGAACAACAACCGCGTGACGTTGGATCCATCCACAAAAGAATTTACGAAACATTAATACCACAGCATAATCATATTCCCCATAATTGTCTAAATAATAAGTATTGTTAATAATTAATTTAACTATTGGCAGAAATTAATATTTAGTTGGTGCAATCAGCAGATATTAAAATATTGACAAATTTTTCACGATTAATGTCTCGAATGAATATTTATTCCTAACCACAATTGTTATTAATATTTAATTGAACACTGATGGTACTGTATGTATCATAAACGTTTAATTATGTCAAATTAAGTTTTAATTGTTTCAATTACTTGATATTAAAATATAAAAAAATATCTCACGCCAAGCTGTGTAACGGGACATATTTATTCTGTTACTACCCACCCATTTCATCGCCTCACAGCATTTTTCACCATATAACGTGACATGAATTTCGGCTGTTCGAAAATAAAAAGATTTTCAATCTTAAAAAAAAACCCATGGGCCCTTTCCCATAAACGCTCTCCAGAGAATTTTGGCACGAAACTTTAAATTTACTTTACTTTTCTAACAAAAAATACTCCACCTCGTTTAAGAAAAGCCATCGATGACCTTGAAATATTCAATTTTTTAGATTTTGAGTTCAGATTTATAATCAGCGTTCCTCGAAACCCTTGTATATCAAGTTTCACCAAAATTGTTCGAAAAGAAAAATGTATATTCCTACACCTTTGAATCTCCGAAATACGAAAATGGACCAATATAAAAAAATACATGTCATATATTTTTCGATGTGGTACACGTATGCAAAATTTCAAAAAAATTGAAAGTGGACACCAAAAAAACTTTCCTTGTTAGTTTGTTATCAAAATTTAATGAAAAAGCTACAATCAAGGAGACATCTTCTATGCTGAGATGTACAGTGAAGTCTCCATAAATCCACAAGCTTGGGACTGAACTTGTGCGTTTATCGAAGACTTCGTATGTTCTCTGATGTTTGCCGACAAGCGTCGAACGTAGAGAAGATCAGCGAATAAAGAAGAGGATGGAGCGAAAACACCAGGATATGTCAGTGAGACAATTTAATGCAACGATGAAACTTTTGTATTATTAACTTTTTTGTTGTAAAACTTTTATCATCGCGTTCCTGACATTTTTCTGATTAAAATGGGACCAAACACGATATAATTCGAATGATATTTACCATGTATCTTTTTTTTAGTTAATTTTCTACGATATATGATATATAATAAGTTGTTACAAGTAAATATGTTGCGAATTACGTCGTGTTTGGTCTCATTTTAATCAGAAAAATCTCAAGAATATGATGGCAACAGTTTTACAACAAAACAGTTTCACCGTTCCATTATGCATTTTCGCTCCGTCTTCTTCTTTGTTCGCTGTCCTTTTCTACGTTCGAAGCTCTTCAGCAAACATCAGAGAATATACAATCATGTTGTCGGCGATCGAACTCCTTGATTCATCAAGGGGATGGGGATGGTTTCTGTGCATTTATGGTAGAGAAATTTGTGCATTTATAGAGACTTTACTGTATACCTTCTCATTGAACGCGTTAAAAGGTTACAACCACTTTGCCTATCTCAATATTCAGACTTCTTCAAGAATTTTTATTGAAGCGATATCAAGATTTTATTTACGTTGATGTACATTAATGTATTGTATAAGTATTCAACTAGAAAATAATTTTTTATTTTTTTCATTTTGACGAAAATGGTGGTTTGACAGACGATTAAGTGGAGCGTCTAAAAAATAAATGATTTTGCTGTGGGCATGATAATTCAAACCAGGTTCAAGTTGGAACAGTGAAACAAAATTAATTAGTTTCCTTAGTTCAAAAGCTAGTGAAATACATAGCCGTTTATAAAAATATACATTTTTAATAAAATGCCATCGTTCCAAAATGAAACATATAAATTTAGCCTAAAATTGCGTAAAAAATACAAATTTTATTATATACAATACAACCTTATATTATCAATATAATATATATATAATACAAAAATCCTACGAATTTCACTAGAAAAATAGGGATTCGATTCGATTGGTCGAATGGTTTCCGTTCTGCTCTTACACTTTCGATATCGATTTCTAATTAACGCCATATCATTTTCGTATATAATAGAGAGCTTCTCAAAAAATACCCAAAGATACGAGTGTTCGAAATTTTCCTAGGTAGACATAGCCCCATTTACCCCTGAGGAGGGCGCGGATTTATACCCGGAAGTCTCGGATAGTATCAATCGCGGCACAGTGACGTCGCTGATCAGAAGTACGACCCACCGATTCATTCTACACCCGGTACAGTTCGAGGCACGCGCACGCGTGCACTTGCTCGACATACATACCCCCTTCCTCTCTCTTGCTCTCTCCAGAACCATTTTCCCTCCATCTTCATCCTTTCTCTCTCTTTTCGGAATCATTTTTCCTTTATATCCCTCGCTTTATCGTTTCCTTTACTTCCCTCACTCGCTCTCTCAATATTCCCACTCTCCCATGCGTCCATCTTCGTCGGTTCTCCTCGAATCTTTATCCCCTTCTCTTTCGCTCTTGTTCGCTGGGTTGGCTAAAGTTGTCCCCTTCCACGGGCTCTCTGTCCCTCCCGGTGTACGAGGGCGTCTCTCTCGCTCTTTATATCCTCCCTCCTCTTTGCATTCGCGATTGGAGAGACCCGACGAGGCGCGCGCGCGGTTTCTCTCTCAGTCTCTCGCGCAAAGCGGTTTCGTGGCGACGTGCACCGTGCACCGAGGTTGCACTCGATAGATTGTGGCTGGTCCAGGTCTCCTCGGTGTCTCTCTATCCCCTTTGTCTCCGTTTCCCTCCTGGTTAGGTTGCTCCCGTATCCTTCCTACTTCCGTTGTCCACGCGCGACCAGTTTCCCCTGATAGATTCTCGAATCACATCTCGTTAGTGTCGTTTGGTGTCCGAGGCAAAGATGGACCAGGGCAGAAAAGAACCGCGGTGGCTGCTGGTAGACACCGCTCGGCCGAGATAGCGGCGAAGAAGAGATCGCCTCGCCAGTCGACAGAGAAAGAGTGTATTGCTATTTTCGAGACGCCGTGGAGCCCGGCCAACGCGTGCGTCCGGTTTACGGTACGCAGGAAAAAAAAGAAGGAAAAACCAGCCGAGGATTTCGCGGGCGGAAGGTCGTCGGCTGGTGAAAGATAGCATGTTCGCCACTGGTGCACGGTGGCTTGAAAATGAAAACACGGAAGCGATACTACTCGCGCAGCGAAACTGTCAACTTGAGTGCAGACTCGTGAAAACGTGAAAATTGAAAGTTTGAGGGAGATTTAGTTGGTGATTCAGCGAGAGTGATCCGAGTTTGACGATCTCGCACGATCGAGTATTGACCCGCGTTAACCTCCAGGCTCGAGCTTGGAAAAATTCGTTGGGTTTGCAGCGATCAGCCGTCGCGTCACGAGATCGGTGATCGACGATATTCTGGCTTCGAAAAGAATATGTTTCACGTTGAATTCTTGAAACCTGTCCGATAACTAACTTACTCCGTCGCTGTTCTCCGTTGCTCAATTCGGGGAATTCGAGTCGTTTTTTATTCGAGAGATGGGGGAAGACTCGATAAACTAATCGTGTAACTTTGCGGGGATTTAGAAACGCGGAGAGTTCGTTTACTTGTTGAGAATGGTCAAGAACGAACTTTTTCTTATTTCCCAAAGTGCAAACTAGGTCAGCCCCTTTATTTCGCTGATATGCTGATACGCTGATACCCGCCGTCAAAATAAATAATTAAATGAATGTTAAATACATGTCATAATTGATATTTCTCGAAATTGGTCTTTTGGATACATTTTCAGTTTATCGTTTTAGTTCATCGTTAGCGACACTGAAATAGTGTATAAACAGTGTTTTGGAACTTACGTACTGGAAGAATAGAATTGTAAAGTTCTCCTGCACCTCGACAATTGGTTTAGTGTGTATCGTAAAAACAAGCAATACTAACTTAATAATAATATATTACCGTCGGAAGTATACCGAATCTCAATTTTTTTGTGCAGAAGTTTAGAACCAGTGATAATTGCATATTATTACAATGTGTAAATTAGGATGTAAAAGTAATTTAATCCTTTCTTCAAAATTTCTTTGTATAAATTCTTTTACAATATGTCGCGATTAAAACAAAGCCAAAGCACTAATAAAGGTCGGGAATAAAATCCTTATTTGTCAAGCGATGATTTGACTAGCTATTTTTTTTTTTTTGTTTCAATGTTTTTACCAACATTGCTGGTCTTTCATCGAAAATAACGACATTAATACAACCGAGAACATAATAACGCATAACGAAATTAAAATCTAATAAAAGTGCACGAGTTTAAGAGATCTTACAATTCCTAATACGACGTTACTTCCTGTTCGTTTAAATTCCTTTGCGGAAGACGAGTTTGCATATCGGGATATATTTCGTTTGTTGTGTATAAGTAACAAAGGAATCGATTTTTCTTTGAAAGAAGAAGTTCACGCGACAGAGAGTTGTTAATTTTTAGATCTGGAAGACGACTGAAGTTTTGGAAATAACAAGAACAAACTGAAAACGGTGAAGAGTGAATGGTTCCGTGTTGTAATCGACGATGATCGTCGAGCCGATAGCGAATTGCACGGGAATCATCGATGATTGCGCGAACGAAGCCGTAAAATAGAGTTGAGTTTTGAAGAGAGAAGAGAGAAGAGAGAAGAAAAGGATGACACTGTTGAAGACTTAACTGTGTTTTCGAGTCACTTTGCCGCTATGGTTCGCGCGGTATGTCAGTTACTCGCCATGGAGATTGGCCTGTGGAGGTTGGTTGTGGTTTTTGTAGTTTCAAACGGAAATAGTCGTTTCGTGCGAAAGGCGGCGAACGATTAGATTGGGACGTACGGTTACTTAGTTGAAGATACGTTTTTATTGAACAAAAGTATATAAAGACAGAAAATTAGAATATAAACTGTATGGCCACTCAAACTGTGTACATGCTTCCAGAATTATTCTCTGTAAACCATTGAGGTCGTTAACGCGTACATACCGATATCATAGAGGGCCCACTCGTCCCACTCTTCGCCTATCCGTTACCTTAAGGAGGAAGTCTGGTCCAGCTAATGTATTTTTCTAATGCATATAATTTCCAGATATAATTTTTGTTATTGAAACTTTTTTTTTTACATATAAAGGGATGTTCAAAGAAGAAAATTTGACAGTGTAGATTTAATTTGAATGTATACATACAGTGGGTGTAGAAAGTATTCGTATACTGATAAATTTCCAAAAAAACTGTGTAAAATTGTAATTTATTAACATATTTTTTATAAACAATGACATTCTACATATTCTCGGAAATCTCTAGAATAGATAGTTCACAAAAAAAAAATAGCTATTTATATAAATTGTGAAATGAACAAGAAGAAAACAATTAATAGATAGAAATGTTGAAACAATAAATATTCGCACAACTGTTTAAAAGTACTTCACTGGAAATATGATGTTTTCTAATTCGTACGGAGCAATAAACTAATGTGCTTATTGCTTCTATACTTTTACCCACTTTTCGCATTTTTTTTGTTAATTTCACAAATTATATTAACTAGTAAATGTTGTTTGGACTATATCTATCTTAGATACTTCTGAGAATATGTAAAATATCATTGATTATAAAAAAAGAAGTTAAGAAACTACAATTACGAACAAAAGTTTTTTTGGAACTTGATCGGTGTACGAATACATTCTACACCCACTGTATATAGATATAGTACTCGCAAGGAAAGGTTTCGGTCAAAACGGTGGGACGCATAGCTCATCGAATTTTTATCCGATTCACTTGATTCAACGCTTAATTTGAAGGTAATTAAGTTTATATGCTAATGAACCTCGACTTTTAATGAATTATTATTATAGCATAAAGTTATTGCAAAATAACAGCCGACATGTATCGTTCATTTTCATGTTTTTTGCCGCCATTTTTGCAATCAACAATTCTTTTTTTTTTTTGCAAATTGAGGTTCATACACATTTTACGTACCTACTAAAGAAAAAGGTTTTCTGATTTTACCTATCTGATGTTTTCCCAGGACTCCACGTATCCCATCGTTTTGACCGAATCCTTTCCTTGCGACTACTACATCTATATATGTATACGTTCAAATTAAATCTACACTGTCAAATTTTCTTCTTTGAACGTCCCTTTATATGTAAAAAATAGTTTCAATAACAAAAATTAATTAAATCTGTCAATTATATGCATTAGAAACATACTGTAAAATTTAAAATTATTGTAATAACCTATTTTTGCATAACAAATTTGATTACCGATAAATGATAACGAAAATTTTAATGAGTTTGATACCGTGCATCGTTTGTTTATGGTAATAATAAATCAAACAGGTCGAACCGTATGCACGTTTAATAATTTATTTTAATCAGCAATGTGTATCTATCGGGAAAAGTAACAGTTATAAATTAATAAAGTGGAATTTCTGTTGAAAATCATAGAAGCAAGAACAACGAAATTCAGACAACAGTTATGAAATATTTTTATTAATTATCAGACAACAGTTATGAAATATTTTTATTAATTATAGTCTTCTGTTAACATAGTTTTATTTACATTTGGTTAGCGCTGCTCGCAATCGGTAATAACTTGTAAAGTAAATTTCTTGTTCTCGTCATTGTTAACTAATTAATTAATCATTATGCTCTCTCGTTGATTCAACTCCACGTTCCACGATTTTTATGTTCTCTAATGTTTGAATGCAGTTTTGTATCAAAACCTATTTTAATCGCCATAAACGCCTGTAAATGTGAAAGCAGTAATAATCTGGTAAATTCTTAAGTAACCTGTAAATCGCATACAGGGTGGTCCACGTAACTAGCTCACCTCGATTAACATCTAAAGTGTCCATTTCATAAAAAATGCCACGTGGACTACCCCGTATACATATACCGGTATGTATGTTAGCCTCAGCGCATGACAACCCTAATCACAGATCCAAACTATTACTAAACAGTATTTGTTACTCGTAGAATAAAACCTAGAATTTTAATTCACTGGTTAATCGAATAAATTTGACGAATAAATTGCGATACGTTGGTTTTATTCATCATCCATTATTAGAATAAAATTGTTCTCGCCCCCAGCCGTAATAACAAACCGAAAAAGATTTTGAATTTACTCTTTTACGTCTAATCGCTGCTAAAGAAGATAAAGCAAACGAAATTCGATTACTTAGTCCACCATTTACTTCATTTTCCTGGTGAAACAATTGTAGAAAGTGTTTGTTATAAGTATAAAAAACACGTTACTAGAAATGAAATATACTGAAGACAAATCTTGACACCTGTTTTATTTTACCATCTTTGAGACATAAGTACTCATCATCGCTCAAATTCTTGACAACTTCAACTTCAAAATAAAAGAAACGTATGAAAAATGTTAAAAATTCAAGAAGTTATGTCAAAAATGAAGAGAACTGCTGTGGCCTGTATAGAGAATAAAGTAAAAAATATGTTGAAAAATATTATACTTATTAATAAATATTTAAAAAAAGAAAAGAAACACGTAAAAACATATCACGGAAAAGGAACATTAGTTGCTGTAACAAATTACAGTCAGTGTAATAAGTATTCGTACAGAACCAATTCAAAATAAAACTTGATGTATTTATTTTATTAATAAATGTTAGGGGAAGAAATAATTAACCAACACTCCTACATATTTTTAGAGTAGAATTTGCGTAAATTAAAGTTTTAAATTAACTTTTAATGTTAGCCTCTTATTTCTTTTCTTATTAATTTTATTTTAAAGTGGTTGCTGTACGAATACCCTTTACACTGACTGTAGTTACAATCAGCCTTCATTAAATATTAAAGTATTTTAAAAACTATAAATAAATTAAAAAAAAATATTCGTTGAACAACTGAAACCCGCGAAGCGAAGCATACAAACTCGAACTGACCACTTATGCCAGTTTAGATGACAGACATTGATATTTGTAGTTATGTAGTGCAACGCGCAGTACATTAATTACTTTAATCAATAACTCTACAATTACCAATATTTGACATATGACGAGAAGGACACGTAATCGATCATCCTGCAAAAGTAGGTTAAAATAGGAGCGCGACATGCTTGAGGCCTTTTCTCGCAAGATGTGAACTGAACGACTGAAACGACTTTCACTAAATCGAGTTTTTCTATTATACGCTGATTTCATCCATAAAGCAAAAAATGTCGAATATATTATCTAAAGAGAAAAAATTGAATATGTCATTTCGTTTTGTTTCTTCTGTAATATTAGGATGTCCCAAAAGTTTCTTTCGTTTTATTAGTAATTAATATATACACAATATTTTATGTTGTATGTTACATTACTGAATTGTGTACGATTCATCTCGATTCATTACTGTTACAGCATCAATGTCTAAGAAATTAGATTGTCTATTTATATAAACACTGTCACAGAAAATAATTGAATGCAACTTACGAAAGAAACTTTTGGGACAATCTAATACATCAGAAGATGTGAGTTGATAACACAAAAGGATGAATTTGTCTACCCTTGGTCTTTATTCCCCTCTTTCCGAATTTAATTTTTAACCCTTTCTCCTTGAGGCCTTTTTTTTGTATCTACTAGCAACTCGAGATGCATTCTTAACATTCTATAGCCGAGAATGCTAAGCTTAATCAGGTCGCCTTTATCTCTCCGACAATTATTTTATCGACACTTCGAGTTCCAAAGAAGCGAAATCGAAACAAACCTTTTTTTTTTTAAATTACTTTGTTTAAGGTCACATCAACTACATGGTCATTAGTGACCACGTTAATATCTACAATTCAATTACAATTTATTCATTATTTCATATTTCGTTAATATATCTACTAGTTTGAGAAATTCGTTTCTGTTGTTGAGAATCGTCTGCATATTATTTGAAAGTTTGAATTCTACTCGATCGTGCTGCATTCCTTGACATTCTTCAATTAAACGTTTAACTGTGAGAGTTTCGTCACAAAAGGTGCATGATGGTGGCTGTGATTTTGTTATACTGTAGCAATGGCTTAGATTTGTGTGGCCAATTCTCAATCTTGAAACAAACATTATTGTTAGTCGATTTACTGCGGCAAACCTGATGGTGACTGAGAGTCACCTCTCGAGTGCAAAGGGTTAATTTCATATAACGTTTCTTTATTATTGCCTAATCCGTAAGATGGGTTTCATCTGTCAATAATATTACATCCTGCATTGTCTAACATGACTTACAATGTTTGTGTTTTATGGTTGAAAACCATTCTGGTTTCGTTTTTCACTTTTAAATGTAATCAAACGGAAGTGAACGAGTATGGATACATTTGATTATATTATTCTCTGAGCTACAGGATTGTATTAGCATTTGATTACATTTGTTGCTGAGTCATAAGATCAGTTTTGCATTAATAATAAATTAATTTCGCCTTTCCTGTATTCTAGTAAGTTGGTTTTCAACCACTGTCGTTCAATCTAGGATTGGGAACCTGTAAGTTTTCATTTGAATTTTTAAATTTAGTTTTACATTCCTTCTCTAATATAACAATACGTTTTGTAACTTAATTGTAGCATATGACTTTTAATTTTGATTACATTCGACTGTTCCGTTTCATTTTGGATGTTTCGTTTAAAAATTCTCTGGCAGAAAAAGATACACACAATATTCGTAATGTTTCATTTTGAGATTTTATTTGTACATTTGCATTTCGAAGGGACACACTCTCTTTTGTGAATGAATCGTCGCACCGTTGGTCTCATAATTGATAAATATTAATTTGTTGCAACCT